ACCGGACTCGGAATCAAACCCAGCCACCTCCAGCATGTTCTTTGTAGCTGTGCCTTTACCGACTGAGCTGAGGAAGGCTCTCCCAGTGAAACCATAGAGCAATATTAATTATTTCGGTTTTGATTCCAAGAAATTGCTGGAGCTTGAAGAAGTTTCAGAAATTTCAGAAAAACTTCGAAAACTTCACAGAAGTACAGAGATCTTCAGAAACATTTCCAGAACTAGATAGAAGTCTATGGAATTTAAGGAAAGATCTGAGAATGTCAGCAAATCAGCAAAATGTCAAAGCATTTCAAAGAAGTTTAGTATGCTTCAAAAATAGGGGGAAATTCAGAGGTAGTTCAGTTCGAATAGTTGCTAACAATTCACGGAAAATTTGAAGAAATTTTAAGATTTGCAGAGAACTTCAGAGGTGGTAAGAAAATTACTGAGGTCTTCACGTAAGTGCAGAAGTTCACAGAAGCTTAATTTTTTTAGGACAAATGAATTTAATTCAGGGCCGTAGAACAAGCTACGTGAGAACTGCAAAAAACTTCAGAGAAATTTCGAGAAGTTCAGCAAAGGACAGAGAACATCAGAGTAGTTCCGTTAACATAAGAGACATTTGATAGATTTTAAAGAAGTTTCGGGAAATTCATCGAATTGACGAAAAGATCCATGATCGTTAGAAAAATTGAGAAAACTTTAGAAAGTGCGAAAAAGTTAAGAACAGTTTAAAAAATTGATGAGAAGTTTTGTGAGCATCAGGATAGTTTCTCAAACTACAAAACAACTTCGAAAATCTCACATAAGTGCAGAGATCTTCAGAAACATTTCCAGAACTTCATAGAAGTCTATGGAATTTAAGGGAAGATCCGAAAATGTCAGTAATCAGCAACATGCCAAAGCATTTCAAAGAAGTTTAGTATGCTTCAAAAATAGGGGGAAATTCAGAGGTAGTTCAGTTCGAATTATTTGCTAACAATCAACGGAAAATTTGAAGAAATTTTAAGATTTACAGAGAACTTTGCAGGGCCGTAGAGCAAGCTTCATGAGAACTGTAAAAACTTCAGACAAGTTTCGAGAATTTCAGGAAAGAACAGAGAACATCAGAGTAGTTCCGTTAACATAAGATACATTACATAAATTTTAAAGAAGTTTCGAGAATTCCATCGAATTGACGAACAGATCCATGATCATAAGAAAAATTGAGGAAACTTTAAAAAGTGCAAAAAGCTTAGGGCAGTTAAAAAAATTTATGAGATCCTGATGAATGTGGGCGTCTTAGTGGAATACCTGTATAATGCGAGAGAGAAGGATTAGTAATTTCCATTTAATTCCACTACCTTATTTGCTTATCCTTGGCAGATACGCGTATTTCGTCTACAATGTGCAGACTTCTTCAGTGTCTTGTACTAATACTCGACTCCTTGATGAGATATTTTGTGAGCATCAGGCTAGTTTCTGAAACTACAAAAGAACTTCGAAAATTTCACAGAAGTGTAGAAATCTTCAGAAACATTTCCAAAACTTCATAGAAGTCTATGGAATTTAAGGGAAGATCCTAGAATGTCAGCAAATCAGCAAAATTTTAAAAGCATTTGAATGAAGTTTAGTGTGCTTCAAAAATAGGGGTAATTTCAGTTGGTTCAGTTCGAATAGTTTCTAACAATTAATGGAAAATTTTAAGAAGTTCTAAGATTTTCAGAGAACTTCAGAGGTGTTTAGAAAATTATTGAGACCTTCACGTAAGCTCCGAATTTCACGGAAGCTTAAACATTTTTAGGACAGTTGAAATAACTTCAGTCGTAGAACAAGCTTCGTGAGAAGTACAAAAACTTCAGAGAAGTTTCGAGAAGTTCAGGAAAGAACAGAGAACATCAGAGTAGTTCCGTTAACATAAGAGACATTACATAAATTTTAAAGAAGTTTGGAGAACTTCATCGAATTGACGAACAGATCCATGATCGTTAGAAAAATTAAGGAAACTTTAGGAAGTCCGAAAAAGCTCAGGGCAGTTTAAAAAATTGATGAGAAGTTTTGTGAGCATCAGGATAGTTTCTCAAACTACAAAAGAACTTCGAAAATTTTACAGAAGTGCAGAGACTGTCAGAAACATTTCCAGAACTAGATATAAGTCTATGGAATTTAAGGGAAGATCCGAAAATGTCAGTAAAATAGGGGGAATTTCAGGGGTAGTTCAGTTCGATTAGTTTCTAACAATTAACGGGAAATTTGAAGAAGTTCTAAGATTTTGAGAGAACTTCAGAGGTGTTAAGAAAATTACTGAGGCCTTCACGTAAGTGCAGAGATTCACGGAATCTTACATTTTTTTAGGACAGTTGAAATAAATTCAGGGCCGTAGAACAAGCTTCGTGAGAACTGCAAAAACTTCAGAGAAGTTTCGAGAAGTTCAGGAAAGAACAGAGATCATCAGAGTAGTTCCGTTAACATAAGAGACATTACATAAATTTTAAAGAAGTTTGGAGAACTTCATCGAATTGACGAACAGATCCATGATCGTTAGAAAAATTAAGGAAACTTTAGGAAGTCCGAAAAAGCTCAGGGCAGTTTAAAAAATTGATGAGAAGTTTTGTGAGCATCAGGATAGTTTCTCAAACTACAAAAGAACTTCGAAAATTTTACAGAAGTGCAGAGACTGTCAGAAACATTTCCAGAACTAGATATAAGTCTATGGAATTTAAGGGAAGATCCGAAAATGTCAGTAAAATAGGGGGAATTTCAGGGGTAGTTCAGTTCGATTAGTTTCTAACAATTAACGGGAAATTTGAAGAAGTTCTAAGATTTTGAGAGAACTTCAGAGGTGTTAAGAAAATTACTGAGGCCTTCACGTAAGTGCAGAGATTCACGGAATCTTACATTTTTTTAGGACAGTTGAAATAAATTCAGGGCCGTAGAACAAGCTTCGTGAGAACTGCAAAAACTTTAGAGATGTTGATGTTCTCATGGAATTTTTCCATAAATTCACTTGGAACGCTTCTATGAATTCTCTAAAAAATATCACCAGAATAAACTTTGAGTACTTCTCGCTATTCCATTGAAATATTCGTCAAAATTTCGTTTTAACCATCTGCATCAATTTTCTTTGAATTTTCCTCGGAATTACCTTGAAATTCTCCACAATTAGAAATCGTTTGGAAAGATTCTCCGAGTATTCATTGAATTCATTTCGGATTCCCTTTTGAATCTCATCGCTTCCCTTGTAATTCTACTCACATTGAAAGTCTCCAATGAATTTATTTCCATTTCTCCTCACAAATTCCCAAGATTTCTCCTCATAAGTTCTTTGGCAAACTATCCTGTAATTCTTTTCCAAATTCCTTCGAAAATCTTCTGGAGCAATTCTCAGATTTGGTTATAATCCTCCTTTTAGCATCCCCCTCACCTCCTAAATATCCTCCAAAAATTCCCAAGGACTTATGCTCTGGATTCGTTTTCTTCCACAAACTCAGAATTTTCCTCTGCAATTCTACTCATCTCAGGTTTCATATGAATTCTGAAATTCCTCAGAACTACCTTGACAACAGATTGCACGTGATGTTTTTCTCATAGGGGTTTTCCCCAACTCGCTTGGAATGAGATCCTTAGAAATTATAATACATAATACATGTGCAACTGTTGCTATGATAATTAAAATTATCACCGATTGTCAGCGAAAAGCGATTTCCCTAACACAGATTTCAAAGTTGAATCTCATCCGGTCTCATCAAACGGTGTTTTTTCAATCACCGCGTGGTGAGTGGTGGTGTTCTCCGTTACACAACGAAAGGCTCCCCTCAAGCAGCTAGCGATCAAGGCTGACCCCAACCGCTGATCGGATTCAGTTCCAACTATCGTGTGTGGTGATGTCCGGTCGTCGACATCAGCAGCAGCAGTGCATGGCGTTGAACATTGTTCTCCAGTACACAACGAAAGGCTGCCTGCTAGCAGCGAGCTGCAGCCAACATGAGCATCCATAGAAGGAGGGAGCAGCAGCACCGCTATTGATCGGAATCAGTAGCTCTTCGTGGGTCGCTGTGGGCCATCTATGTCAAGCGCGTCATACTAAAGAGTATAAACAGAGAGAACCCTGCTCAAATTCATATTCCTACACAAAACACAAGCTCCTGCTGCAGTTAACAAATAAGATTTATTATATAAGACCACGTAGTCCTACGTCGCCATTGCGTACAACCCCATAGGGCTGTCCCTTGTAGTTTTTACAACTAAAGCTAGTAGAATGGGGGCCGAATACTCGCGGTTTACTCGAGATTAATAAATACATTTATTTTGAGGTTTGGAAGGGGGTTGAGGAAAAGGGATATTGGTAAATCTTCTTTCTCCTTCTTTCGACGGATTGTTATCAAGATGTTTTCAATGATAACTAAATCAGTTATTTTTTTTATATCCACGGAGTAATTTTTTGTTATAATTTGTGTTATGTTGGCTGCTTGCTCAACCACAATGATAACACATTCAGTTATCAAATCTTGATAACCGGGTATCAGAACTTGTTATTAATCTGGTATAATCCTTTGCTCGGGTACTGAATGACTTCAGTAAAGTTTGGAACTGCTCTGGAAAGTACTGATTCATTTCATAAAATATTAAAATCACTTTCGCAAGCACTGAACCACTTCAGAAAAATTCAAATCATTTCAGAAAAATCGGAATCAATTATACATGCACACTTGCATTACGTAGTAAGAGAAATCCGAACCAATGTCTACCTAACTCCTTTGGTTTTCTGAACTACTTTTTCTTCCTCATAATAGAGCAAGGACTATGAATCAAAAGGTATAAACATGAATATGTTTACACAACTCTGAAGTTACGTTTTATAATATCAATTTAAGATTTGTGGGAAAATGACAATATTTGCTTTCCGGAAAACTGTACGGGAAATGGTTTTTTCAGAGAAATGACGTATAATTTACTAGTTTGATGATGATAATGTTCGTTTAAGATATCAGTAGATCAATAATGCTAATCTCAATTCCTCTCTTTGTTTTCCATTTCAGGTCATAAATTCGAAGCGAATGAAGTAGTGAATTTAAGTTTAGAACCTGGAATATGGTAAGTACCTATCGTTTCTTCCTCAACTACCAAGTGTTTCACAGCCATAACTGTTTTTCGTATCAAACCCCGCACTCGGCTTAAGTACCATAAGCAGTTGGCTGCTGTTGCATGCATACAAAATATATATACATAACGATATGGGAAATTACGACGACGACCGACACGACGTGACACTTGACGTTATAAGTGAAAACAGATTTTCTTCTGGCTGGTTTCGGTTTTGTTTTCCATTCGCACTGTTTCCCCATCATCATCATCATCATCTTCGTGATCATGTGCTCTGCAAGTGCAGGGAAAAATGCTAACATATCAAACTCATTTGAGTTTTCTCGTCGTTTATGGCCGTCTGGTGGCTGGTCATTTGATCTTCGCTGTTGAGCAGTTCCACGCCAAATGGCGAATCGATCAGACCTGACCTTCTCCGATTTGCATGACACTTTGCATTATTGTTTGCTATGGGCAATAGACTGATGCAAAATTAGAAATTTCCGCTCCACAGTGCTCAAACGGTTCCAAATTGGGCCCTGATTAGCCTCCCAAAATTTGAACTCATTTAGTGAGAAACTGACTGGGCACAAACCATTTGAAGTTTATATGGGAATTACTATGAAGAAACCATAATTTCGGTTCATATCTATTTCAAAATTCACTAGTTCTACTTTAGAAAATGATAGCTGAAAAAAATTATTAATGATTCAAGTCACTAATGTCTTATGATTATGCTCAATCAACTGTTCAGCAGGCAACATTGGTTTTTATGGCGCGCAGAATAGAGGACAAAAATCATGGCTACTATGTCACACTGCAGAATACAGTGTTGCCCACAATACAGTGGCTTAATCTTGCCATAAGATCCCTTAAACAATTGATAACTATTTAATTTGACGTTTTGCTGTAAAACAATTTTCTGCAAAGTTGTAGCTGATAAAAATTCCCATAAGAATAGCAATAGAATTTGTTAACAGTACAATATGTAAAAAGGCTAGAAGACAATGAACAAAAAGTTTTGTTTTCCCATAGTAATTTCCATATAAACTTCAAATGAAATTAAACTTCCGGAGGTTAATCAGGATCCGATTTGAAACCGTTTGAACACTGTAGAGCGAAAATTTCAAATTTTGCATCAGTTTGATGGGCAATCATTCACATTTGTGCTAAAGTTCAGCCATTTTGAGCAAATTTGTCCAAAATGGCGTCATTGGCATTTTTCAATAAATCATAGCACGGAAGCGTCATTTCTATTCAAAATGACGTCAGAAAATATTCGCATATCACTGAAAATCGTGAAAAAAGTTTAAAAAGTTTACCAAAAGTTGTTGTTCTACGATTTTTGAACGGTCCATGGTTTTCAATATTTAAAAAGTTTGCTTTTTTCATGAGCTTTTTTTTTATAAATAAATCAAAAATATTGAACATGAACATTTTTGGTTATTTAAATTTTAAACACTTTTTTGATTGTTTTTTTCTTTTCTTCGAAAAATTACTATGCATATTTTGCCTAGAACGAGTTTAATTTTCCTCACAACTTTGTCTCAGGCGTCATTTCCATTAGAAGTGACGTTTTCGTGCAACGATTTATTGAAAAATGTCGAATACGCCATTTTGAAATAAATTGTGTTCTTCACAATGGCTGAATTTTAGCACAAATGTGAATGATTGCCAATAACAATTGCTCAAAGTTCAATTTTGTATGCTATTTGGCCTGGAACTACTCTATTATCTATCGCTTATTAGCCACCAGCTCCAGCACAGCGACGATGATTATGATGATGATGATGATGATGATGATTTTCTGAGATTATCGTTATGTTTGAGGTTAGGTTTCACTCTCTCTCTCACACACGCATACAATCTGCTGAAGAGGATTATCATCATTAGCCATATTATGGTAGCTAGTGCGCTGCTTGAAGTCAAGACAGTAAATAGGTAAGAGGAAAGCATTTCGAGTGGGCAAACGAACGCGGGGGGGGGGGGGGGGGGTCCGTCGAAAAGTCAACAAAAACCACCGGAAATCGGTGTCATAGTGCAGGGCTGCAATTTCAATTACTTTCCTCTTTTTATGGCCTTCATAAAACTTTCCTAAATCAGGTGAGAGTCCAACTGTGTTTTGGCGTTGTGTCTTTCACCGTGATTTGATCAGATAGGGCTGCCAGGTGATAAAGTTATTTGAAGAGAGCTTGATCTGCCAACCCGATCGAACACGGGAAGTGTATTTTGAACCTAGATTGGCCACTTCAAACTGGAGCTGCTGGTACAAGCACCAAGCTTTGCTATCCAAACAATTCAGCAGAGAGTTGGACCGGGTTCCATCGGTCCCATTCATTGAGTGCCTATCGAACAATTTGTCGGTGCCTTCAATTGGAACATGCATTCGGCTAGCGGCGGTGTTTCATGGTTATCAGCACCGGCAAATAGTGCCACTAAACTACCGACAACGATGGGACGCCACAGACCGGTAAATAGAGTTTAATCGCCTGAAGCACGACAATGGAAGAGATTGGCATCTCTTCTGGGGTGACGCTTTTGCATTTCCATGAATAATCTCGAAGTTGCGGCAAAGCCTGCACAAATCGTAAATCCGTTGCGAGAAAACTGATTTTTATGATCAAGAAAAATCAACACCAGCGTCTCGTTTCAAGGTTTTCAAGGGTGTCAAATATTGACTCAATGCACATTTGCACATTGCTATATTGACGACCCGGATTGCAGTGATGCAATTATCTGAAACTACCGACTACAGCCGACGGCGGTGAGCTACGATGAAATCACAAGTTTCACAACTCTGAAACCACCTCACCGGGTCTCGAATTTACTTCCGGAGATGCAGAAACAACGCTTGTTCCCGCACCACTTTTGCACATTTTTTTTTGTTTTGCGGTCATTATGCTTGGACCCTATGCACTTCTGTTTATGCTCAAATTACACTTCGTGTCAGTCACCCGGTACATAAACGACACGCCACGAAGCGACACAGTCCATCTGGTTCGACTGGTTTTCGTGCAAGTACGGGTGACGAACTACAGTGCGTCCTTGTTATGATAATTTCGATGAGTGTTAAAACGTAAAACCATTCTAAAAAGCTCTATCACTACTCTGATTCTGTTAAATGGTATCGTGATCGGAAGTAACGAATTCAACTATTTGTCGTCATTTCAACTTAAATACAAAGTGATTTTTTCCTGGTGCTGAGTTGGAAAATTACTTCATCGGGTTTATTTTTTTCTGGGCTTCTTTTCCGGGAACAAGGCCACAACAACCGGAACGGTTACCGGTCTAATGTTTGTCGCTGCACTGCGGGGGACTGAATTAGTCACAGAAGTTGCATTGAGTGTGTGATCGGGCAGCACAGAAGTTGGGCAACAGCTCTACTAACGTACCGTATCGTTTGGTGGTGTTGGTTGCTAGCTATTCTGGCTCATTTGCTGAACTTTATTGGTTGTGCAACTTGTCATGGTTTATGAAAGGGAAGCTATAGGGTTAATGTCCATAATTTGGGCCAAAGTGTTTCATATATAAATTTCGAAGGAAAGTATTTTTTAGAATGCTTCACTAGCTACCAAAAATATCCATATGACGCATTGATCTATGACAAATTGAAGAACAGGAATTTTTTGATCGATGGGCCGAATCTTTAGATCCATTTCCTTTCCAACGGAGGCTACCATCCGACCATCCGACCACTAAGATCTTTATCGTGAAAGTAGTACCTTTGATAAGGCGGAAAACAATTTCTATAAACAACGGTCAATATTTTGGCAAAATCATTTAGGGGACTTCAAAGCCCTTTTGCAATTTTTGGGTTATTCTGAAGGTAATTTTCGCAATTCTGAGCCATTTTATCAATTCAAAAGAATGTTGGCGTTTCTAAACCCGTTTTTAGGACAATTTTATTTTTTGTCAATCTTCAATTGTTTCAAATTTTAATTAAATTACATTATAACGAAGACTACACATCAAGAAGACTGGCAACTCTGCCAAAAATCAGGAGACAGTAACGGCAACGCCTCTTCTGAGCAAAAGTGGAACCTGTGTTTAGCTGTCAATTATTGGTGTTGTTATGATTGTCGTAAAAAGTGAAACGTTACTTTCTTTGCTTTATGCTGACAACGAGTTAAAAATCCAGCTGAAATTGAACAGATGCGTAAGTAAATTTGTTTTGAAAATTAAAACTATGGCAATGATGCCATTCACATGGGACCTTCCTCGATCATTAATTTGCTATCTCAGAATTATCTTCCTCTTTTACTTAGCCCTTTAGTGATGCATTTATGGGTATTCGTATGGTGCATTAGTAAAATGCATGGCACCTGGCAACAACGTGGGAAGTTAAGTTGTGACGCTCGGCAACTTGGCACAGTACTCGCTGACCATTTGAATGTCACTGGCCAATCCGACACTGTTGTTATCATTCTCTGTAAGGGGTTGGTCGATTCCAAGAATTATTAAAGCATACAGAGGATCACTATTCGGTGGTTTCATGTTCTGACAACATCTAAAATGGAATTATATACCGTTTGGGATTGTAGTCCTTCAACCTTTCAGTTTCATTTTCTCCAACATTAGATCCTGCTACGCCTTCCGTTGGATCGTGCTGTAGGTACCGGATCTTTCTTTTTTTGAATCCTTGAATTTTCAAAAGCTTTAAAAATGACGGTAGTTCACTCAACGGAGGTGGAAGCCGCCAATTCCTTATAATTGATTGCTTTCAACAGGCAAAGTAAACAATATTGCGGTTCATCGTACACAAGTAAAAGTTACTTTCACTAGGTATCGATCCGAGTTTCAATCCTCTACTTGATCCACCATGACAAGTTTTTCGGTTTGGAGTTGAAAAACGACCGGCTTGCTGTGATTAGGATACAAATTGCCGTGAAATTTTGTAGAGCAAAACAAAAACAACAACGAGTACCGTGTTATGATTATTCGTTTCGGTGACATAAGGTCACACACACAGTCACTGTTAATGAGCAGTCTCACTAACACTTGTGCTTTAAAGT